TTATTTAAATTATATATTTTTATATTTTATGATAACGTTAAATTAATAAAAATTTAAATAATAAAAATAAATTATAGAACTGATATGATATTTTAAGATAATAATAATAGTCAAAATCGTTAAAAAAATATTAATATAACTACAACTAAATGTATAATTTTTAAAAAATTACATGAATATAGTCATTGCGTAGAGAAGACATCTACTAATTAAGTCTAACAATAAATTAATATGCATCACAGACCATAATTACGAAATAATAATAAAAACATTAATATAATAAGTAATTTTATTTGAGATAATTAAAAAATATATATATTAGTTTTTGCTAATAAAGTAAAAAAAAAAATATATCAATGAAAATATATATATAAAAAGTTTAGTGGTAAAAATGATGGAAGAATTAAATTATAATTTTCTTGAACGATGGTTTTAATTATAATTATGTTTGAAAATTTTCAACACTTCAATATAATTGATCCAAAATTATAAAGTATAGTTTAAATCGGTTTGACACTTATAAGTAGAGGGTATGCAGAATCAAAATAGATTGAAAAAGAGCAGTTCAGACCGAATTAGTTAGGAGAGTCCAACTCGATTAAACAGGTTATGACGCTAAATTTAGTTAATCGATTCGATTTTAATTCACTAGTCCCGAATAACTAATTACTATTTATATATGTTTTATTCTTAAATTATAATATATATAATAATAAATAAAGCTAAATTTCTAGTTTCGAAACTTAATTTTTTCATTATTCGGTCACTCTCTCAGACTCTCCCTTTAAGAATTATAGAGTTTCTTTTACTATAAACACGTGGACTTCTATTAAAAAAAAATCAATTATGTATTTCATACTTTACTCTCTTTTTATTAATAATAATTAAAAATTACACGACAGAATAATTAATTTTTATCTAATTTCGAGTGAAAAAGATGAATTCGTTGATAAAGTAATTGAGAAGTGCTCATATTATTGAAAAATCGAGAAGATTTTTATTATAACTATTGACAATACTAGTACAAATGATATTGCAATTTTTTTACTCGAAAAAAATATTTAAAAACACGAAAACTAGTATTCCAGAGAGTATGTATATTTGTCCGAGATGCATTGCTCGTATCATTAACTTCATTGTAGTTGATGGTATTAAAGAGATCGTGATCAACTTTTTTAGCCTTAAGAATAAGAGTGGAGCATATATATATATATATATATATATATATATATATATTTATAGTGTAATATGTAAAGATTTGTTGTATTTATATATTAGTTTTTTTTTTTGATGGAGGTACAAAATCACATGCATGCCATACATTAACATGGGAACAATACAGTCTTAGCTTTTCTGATTTGAGTAAACCAAGAACCAAGTCATGTTAGGTAATCACTTAATATTGCCAAAACCAAAAAACCAAATACATATATATATATATATATATATATAGAGTAAATCAAGAACCAAGTTAATATAGGTAATTAATTAATATTGCCAAAAACATACATATATATATATATATCAACAAACATATTATAATACATCTATTTTCTGATTTATATTAGAGATTTTAATTCTAACTTAATAAAAGATTAATATATACTATATTTTCCTATATATATATATGTATGTATGCTAGTGGACAGCATGGATCATTGCATGCAATATATCAAAATGCAATGAGTACATTCTTGGTCTTCTAAATTTATTTTTATGTTTGATTTTGTTTATTTGGAATCTCGAGAATGCAATTTGTTTGTTTAATAAGAAAAATTTTATTATAATAATTAATGTATGGTACTATGAAAATAATTTTTTATATATCTAAATCTCAAAATTTTATATAATAATATTTCTAAGCGGTGAATTAAAGTTATGGCAACCTTGTAATATTTACTACAAAACATAGTATATAATTAAAATACATATGAATCACATTAAATATTAAATTAATAATATATATTTTTTTAAAAACTCACTCTTAAATTAATTTATATATTTTTAATATAGAGATTATGTTATTTTTAAGTTAGCCTTCGAACTATTTATTTATTTTTTATTTTTCTCTTATTACGATTTTATTGAATAAAATAATACAAAATGACGGGACGTTAATTATTTTTTTATATTAAAAAATTATAATTAATAAATAAGAATTATGATGAATATATTTGTTAATAATTAAATTAATTAAAATAATAGAAATTTTTTAATTAATTTATTTTTACTTAAAACATAATGTAAAATAAGAGAGTGAAGTGCGAGTTAATTATTAATTATGTGTGTATTTCCGTATTTGTGTGTGCGCGTCGACGTGGACGCGAACCAAACAAAAGGCAACAACAAGATCTAGGCCGGTGCTCGGGTGGGCCATGTCACCCACCTGCTGCGATCATTACCGTCCAAACAAGCCTCTTAATTCGGGCCCCACTTGAAATTACCAAATTAAATTTTTTTTAAGCTGATCAAATGACACTGACGTGGCAAACTGTCATTCCTCTGATCAAAAACACCCCACTTGTTCGCATCTTTTGCTATTTTATTTTATTTATTTTTTTTCACATTCGAGTATTTATTTTATGTGATTACTTTAATTAAAAAAAATTTAATTACTATAAAATATTTTTATTTATTTTTTCATTATAATTTTACTAATAAATTTAATATTATATCAACTAAATCAAGTAAAATATATTAATTATTAAATTATATTTTTCTCCAAATTTATTTTATTTTTTGAAAAAGTATGAATAAATAAAGAGCAAAGAAATAAAGCCTTAAAGTGGGGCCCAGGGGAGGATGTTTTCCACGTAGGACAGCGGTGTAGTGGGACCCGATTAGAGCCGCATGATATGCCACGCATGATGTTGTCATCGATCTTGATCTGATCATGTCCGCATGTCAAAACCAATGGACCCCACCACCCTTTGTCCCATAATGCACCAAAGCACTCTCCTAATAGTACACGTCACCCTTCACTTCACTCTTCCCAATTCTCATTTTACACATCTAAACATAATAATTTTGAGAGGTAAAAATATGGCTTTTTTTTTTTTTTTTTCAATAAAAGGATTACAAATTTATATTTGCACATAATATTAATATTTTAATTTTTACAATAAAAATTAAAAAAAAAAACATTTACCAATATATATAATTAGCACGACGTAATATATATTTATTGCATTAAAAAAATTAATGATTAACTTAAAAGTCAGATACAAATTAATGAATTATTTAATTTAAATTAAAAAATTATATAATTCTTTAATAAAATTTGCTAATTGTGATGCCCATTTCTGTTCCATAAATTTTATTTAAAAATAAAAAATTTAAAAAAAAAAAAAAAAAGAAAGGAAAAAAGAGAAAAGGCATGATGGAAAGTTGGACGGCGAAGATGATGCGCCCATCAAGTGGGGCCCGTTTAGGATTTGAAGGCAATAACAATGAACGTGTAATGCTGAATATGGGACAACCTAGTCTCACAACTTTTCTGTTTGGTTATTAGCCATTGATCTTTCTCACAGGGTCCCACCACCAGAATCATACAGGCATTGATGAGAAGAGATGGACCCACTTTACTGTCTACTTTCACCGGGTCTGGCCCACCTACTAACATTTCTTTTTTTTTTTTTTTTATTTAAATGTTCATTAGATTCTTCTTTGGAATTAGGATTCAATTTATCGTTTTACCCAAAGTTACATGTACAAATATATTTGTCCTTCCTTTAATTTGGCACACACAACATATAAATATATATATATATATACACACAATATTTGATTTATTAGAATAAGAATATAGTTCACTAATAATATTAATAAGACTGTACAGACCCAGCTAAACATTTTCTTAACAACTAAACTCTTTTCAGTTCACATAATTAGAGAGGGACTAAACATAAAATTAGATGATTATTATTATTATTATTATTATGTTCTTGCCATGTAGTCTTAATTAAAAAAGAAAGATTTTAATAAGGTGGAAGGCCATGATTTTTGCCTTGAATCATTGGGAGGTTTGAAATTTCAATGTTTAGAAGTTACAAGTAATCTGATCCAGAGGTCTTAATAATACACAATTATGAATTGAGACGAGTCATCCCGATCTGTAATCACTCTTTCAATTGATTACTTGATTTTTCAAGAGAGGGAAACTGCAAAATCATAGCAGGTAAAGTTTACCTAGGCTCCACTAAAGGTTGAATTTTGATTAAATAAGTATATTATAGTTTGAATAAATAAATTAAATTATAACTAATTTATAGTTATCAAGAGAAGAAGATTGAATCATGGTATTTTGTAACATGAAAAAAATTTGCACCAAATTCCCAGAAGGCAATAATGGAAAAACTGGACTAAATCAGAAAGAAGCTGGTCTGAGGCTGGCCCAGAAGCAAATATAATATGGCAAAGTATGTAGCAAACAAATGATGGGGCGACAGATCCCTTCTTTCGGTTTCATCTTTCCAAATTTACCAAACTAAGCTGGTCCAGACCTAAAGGGCTGCTAATTAAATGGGTCCTATGGTAGCAAATATATTTATAAAAAGCTTGAAAGGCATGTATGGAGTTTCTATCACTATGGAGGGTCCGGGTTGAATGTAATAATGCCTAAAATTCCAACAATACTTTTCAGTCTTAATAATTCTCTAACTATTCGAGTGATTTTAAATAGCTGCAGGAACTAAGGAGTACCATGAATCTAGAACAAGAATATATTTATACGATGCTCTGATAAACAGAAGGTCAATAGAGAATCATGCAAGTTACATACAGCCTGGTCCCCTCTTTGTTTTGTGCCCCCAACGAGCTTTCTCTATTTCTGCTTTGTGACCAACCAGAATAATCATTTCCACATCGCTAGTAATATCATAATTCTGAATCACATCAACAAGTTTTTAGATGATTTGGTTTCATCCTGAAATTTCAAAAGTTAGAAACCTACAACAATAAAAGAGGAGCAATTTCCTGAAAGTTATTTGGACACGGCAGTGTCAAAAAGACTCCTCAACAAGTGCGATACGCTACGAGTTACTGGAAAAAGAAAACTACACTCGAGATTTTTCTAGCCACTTTGATTCAGTTTTTTACCACCTTGAAATTCTAAGGTTCCACCAAAGATGGATGGATGCACGAGTACCAGATTCAACAGCTCTCCTGTTCAGCTGACAAGTTTTCTTAACACTGCTTCAGCACGTTGCTCAAACTTTGGCAGGGCCCACTCATGCTGAACTATGTCGAGACTGTCCTTCTCAGCACCCAAGTTCTATTAAGCATGCGGAACCAAATAATTAGCAGTCAGAATTGAAGCAAAATAGCAAACTCACATACAACCCAATTCCACAAGTTTAGCAAGCTTCTAGCCTTTAATTTTTTTCTTTTCAGTTAGTTTAGATGATTTACATCATATTAAATGACAGAAAAACACCAAAAAGAAAACCACAACAGCAATAACAAAAACATCCAACATTGTTGTATTTTTTTATCAGTATTAATGTATGAAAAGTTTTCCCAATTCACATAAAAGTTCTTATGAATCATATACTATCCTTGATGGTTATTGACTCTGTTGGAGGGAAGATAATAATGATGGCATACAAAGCTCTGTCCCATTTAGCGGGGAACAAGGGAAACAACACAACGAGGTTGTATGAATGATACCAATCTTAGGAGAGTCTCAAACCTCAAATCAAGATAGATTCTACAATTACAGACAGGTTACCCACCTGTTCAGAATTTGCTAACATGTCAGCCCCACATTCACGATCTTGAAATTTGGTTCATCAAGACACAATATTATGGCTACCACATCAGAAGAATAACAACACATGCACGCATACACACATACACACACAGAGATGGAAAAGAGCGAAGCAGTGGTAGCAGCAGCAGCCAACTGGGGACATATAATAAGAAAGATTGAGTAGTTTACTATAGTCTGTAGTAGAGAGCAGTGCAGTTTTTTGTCTTTTTGGAGGATAAACATTTTGAGAAATATTAAAACTGACAAGGTCAAATACCAATCTGTAGGATTATAAGAACTGAAACAATACATTAGAACCAGCCACTGATGGTTAGTGTATCCAGCCAGTTAGTCACAACTCAATACCTTGGCATTTCCCTGAACACAGGACCTAAGAACCAATGGGTATCCTTGATTCCTGCATGACACAGCCAAATGAAAACCAATTCCTCCTAACTGATCTAATTATACAGTTCTCCTCAGAAGAGTGCTTGCAAAATTCTACCCAGAGAGTTTTACCTAAGCTCCAACATGTTAGCATCCCCCTCGTCACTTTACCAGCATTTTCTTAAAGTGCAAGCTCACAACTTCCTTCATAACAAAGGAAAATTATGAAGCAAAATCAATAGAGCACCCATCCTAAAACACCTCCATACAAATTGCTTAGTAATGGAGGCGAGAGCATGTTAAAAAAACAAGCTCATTGGGTTACATAATAGCATTAAATTTAACACATGGAACCAAGTGACAACATAAAGCATGCTGCTCTTTCGAACAGCTGACCTAAAAGATAATAGAGGCAAACCATTATAGGCTTTTGGATTTGTTCAACACAAGGAAGAAGGTTCCCAAAAAAGAACTGCGTTATCAATATCCTAAGAAACAAATCTAATGTCAGGGAACAAGTGGGACTGAAAGATACTGATGCTGTTAATAAACCAACATTCAGTTTTCAACCAGCGTAAGATTCTCTTATTACATAAGATAATGCAGGAGTTGCCAGAGTGTTTTATCTTATGAGTGCATGTTACTTGCTCCTTGACAAAGCACATTTAGATTGCTTTTTTTTAAATAACGCACATTTAGATTCCTATCGATTAAAAAGAAAAAAAGAAAGAATATCCACATATTACATATACACACAAATGAAACAGGCAACAGAAACCTGAAGATGGGAATGCGTACAGACTATCAATATTCTGTAAAATGTAGTAACCAGAAGTACTTTCAAAATAAGGAAATGATCCTATATATGAGAGAGTGGATAATATGAAGATAAATGTTTATGTATACATGTGAGAATGGTACAAAAGTTAATTTTGTATGCCTCTTTCATACAGTAAATATGACACTTAATTTGCTTCCTTTATAAACACCAATTTGATATTCGTATGCTCCGCATCCACGAAATTTTTCATTAGGGATTCAACAAAAATACACACACACCAGGATCACTTTTCACAAATGAAAAATACTTGGTTAAGCCACTTATAATAAAGCACCTCTTAGATTAGTACCTTTGAAGGATCGAAGCCAAACCCACTCATTTGCATCATACGTTGTGTATCATCAGTAGCTGCGGTAAGAATATCATGTCAAAACATATGAAGAGCATTTTCTAAAACCCAGAGAAAGTAAAGCTCTAAATCATTCTTGTGCTGGTTCAAATTTGAGGTAAGAAAGAAGTTGTTAATGTATTCTTAGTTGGAACCGTCCACCAATGGATAGCCCAAAATTAGATGTTATGTGTCATCCACCACATGAAAGGAATAAGGATTCTCCATCTTGAGTATCACCATTTAGTGGGCTGTTGTACAAGTGAGGTAAACATGTGCAGAAAAGGAAAGATGACTAACAAGATTATGCTTCCTGCTTTATGGTTTTAAGTTTTAGATTTTTCCATAGACAGTTTCTTATGAAATAATTTCTGTTCATTTAATTGATAGAAACAGATAATACATTTGGGTTAACGGGTGATATTTGTGTGAAAGGGATGTAGAATCTCCTGACCACCATCTTTCGCACTGCCCCTTCTCCTCCCACCTTTGGCACACTGCTATTTGACTTTCTTGGGTCCTAATTGGGTGATGGCAGCCTCTTCTGCATATGTGATTTGGGCTCGGCAGGAAAGCATGGGTGATAAGAACAATAGGTATGACTAACTGTGGAATGGCTTAGAGGATTTCGGCAAAACTATCTTCCTCATTCACATTTTCTGGATTTTAGAGATGGAAATGGATCCGGATAACACAGTACCTGCCCCTCTGGATGAAGTAGGTAACAGGAAAAATGTATATAGATGAGGATTAAAGATTTATTTTGGAGGTGAAAGGCTAGGTATAGGGGAAACACCCGCCTGCCCAACCTCACTAAATACTTTTTTACTTTTTTTAGATTTTTAGTACATTAATAACATTATATTATTTTTATGTACTATTTTTAATGTAAAAAAGTTGTATTATGCTTCATGTTTAACATTTCTTGATATTTTTATCAACTACAAAATGTTATATTAAATTTGTTCAAAATTATTTTACAAATCAATTATCTCATTAGTAAAGTATAGATCAAATTAGGTGAGGCAGGTGATAGGATGGAGATTTCCTCCTGGAGGATGGGATGGAGAAACTTTTTCTACCTATCACTGAGGTGGGGTAAGGATAGAGGAGAGTTATTGAGACAGTGAGACAAGGGTCGAAGAGGGATCCCTGCTCAAAACCTGCCCCACTACCATCACTAGTGGGTTTGTTCCCTTGATCTAGAGGCTTATATTCCCACCTCTACATGATTTCAGCAGAGTAAGGAACAGAGGGTGTTTGTGAAGAGAGACAATATTCATTTATTCTATGCCTTTCACTTGAACGAAACACGAGAATTTTTAAGCAAATATGTCATTTGTATGATGTTCTTTGGGAAAAGTGGTGTTTTTGCTTCTCTTTGGGTTATGGACCCTCATTTCTTGGGGGTGGTATGTTCTTTATTTACATTATAAAGGGATTGGGGGTGCTATTCTGTTTTCATATATCTAGCTTTCATTGTTTGACTTAATTTCCTCTTTGTATTGGAGGATTGCATATACTAACATAGCTTGTAATTCTTCTCTCTCTTTCTCATAACATTTTCTTTTATAAAAAAAATTAAGAAAAAAGGAAAAAATCATACTAATCTAAATCCAGTAAATATCACTGTGCAAAATCAATCAGTCAAAAATACTAACCGTTTTCTTCTCCCAAAATAAGACTAAATAATCCCCGTAATCCAAACAAGTTCAGGAAATACCTAAAACCCGCAAAAGAGAAGTCAATCTTTCTATAAAAAATCAATCAAATAAATGAAATTAATCAGTCAACTAACTAAAGGAGATTCAAGGACGATTCAGAGGAAAAATTATTTGAAAAACAGAAAATAAATAGCTCAATGCTCAGATTGGATAAGTACCAAGAGCGACTGCTAACATAGCTAACATCAACTGTGCTCAAGTCAATTCCATTCTGCAACATTGACCTGAACCTTTGAGTCAATGGAAATGGTATTTTGGCTGGAAGTAACATGAAAAGGAAACATATTTCAGATAACTATGGTGTTATAACATCAGCAAAAACCATAAACAAAAACCTATAGCAATTAATTTATAAGAAGAAAAGCTGGCAGGAGAAGTACATTGCTGCATACAGAAACATAAGGCATTAGTACACGAAAAGGAAGAAAAAGATTGATTAATCATATGGCAATCTGCAGTACGTAATGCAAATAAAATAAATCGACTAGGATAAAATAAAGGTGAAATTACAACCTAGAGCAAAATTTCTTTTAAGAACAACATAGGATAAAATTTCAAAATTTGTATCTCAAGAGCAATAGGTAGAAAAAACGGAGGAATCTTGGACAGATAGTAAAGAAACAAACCTGCAACAAATCCAGAGAAGAAAAAGTTGACCCATGCAAAAGTAAGAGTCTGGAAAAACAGGAAAAAGATCGAAGCAAACAATCAGCTAACTGATTTGGCAATCACTTACGGCCCAAAACTATTAAACTGACTGCACCTGAGGTATAATCATTGAAAGGTTTTTCTTCATCATATCCATAGCCATGTTAGGATCAGAGAACATTTGTGCTTGGGCATTTTGAGCCTGGTTCTTTGGAACAAATAACAAACCATTTTCCTGCCATAACACAAAATATATTTGGTAGTATCAGCATACTAGTGAACATGCATTGCATAATGCAAGTACTATAGTAAAAGCTCCTTGATCAAAATCATCAAAAGAAAAGAAAAAAGACAAATAAGTAATAGGGAGAAAAAATGTAAATGCACCATCCAAAGGTGCTAGTTATGTGCTTTTTGAATTGATCCATAAATATGCAGCCATATTTCCTTTTAAATTACTACCATGCTGGCTGTTACAAACTTTTTTTTTTTCAATCTAACTATGCATCCTCACAAGAGGAAGAAAACTTTAGAAAATCAACCAACCACAACACTCACATACATAATCTGTTAGTAGGCTAGGTAAACTTTAATATCATTTAAACATCACTGGTTTATCACCTAAAAGTGATAAAGATGGTGCTTTCAAGGTTATTGAACAGCAAATTTATACTCAGAGATATTCCCCATCACACTTCAGACTCGGATAGGGAATGTGACAAAGAGCTGGGAGTCAAAGAACCTATCCATCAAACGAGGCCCAAATTCTACCACTTACAGTATAATTTCAAAGCAAACACACTTTCAAGACAGGTCAAAATCCTATTACCGAATCCTAATACAATGCAATTAACCCTTTCTTGAAAAAAGATATCCCCAGTGTAAATTGAGCTCGAGTAATCCAGCCAACTAATCTAAGCAAAGCACAGAAAATCTAACTATGTTCACCGGAAAAAAAAAATGCTCACTACATGATAAATCAGCTACTGATGTGATTAATACATTTAGATTATTCAGCACCAGTCAATAAACCAAACTGGCTTCAAAATCGAAGCAACTAACTTTCAATATCTCCATTAAATTAAGAACAAAGTAAAGGCATACCTCGTTGCTGAAGTACAACCTGCGAGCGCGGAACGACTTCGGAGGAATTAAATTAGCACCAGACCTCAAATTCCTCGCCCTAACTACAACCTGCCTGAAATTTTGGGAAAAAAAGGAACAAACAAAAATAACTTCACTGGAAACAATATATGAAGTATGTTCATGCGTGCGCACAACACGTATACCTACACACACACACACACAAAGGCACATATGCGGGAACAAGTATGTGCATATAGAGGGATGAGAAGTGACGGCATACCCTTCCTTGACGATCTTCGCATCGGGGGGCTGAGAAGAACGCATGAGCTTGGAGACGAAGTGCCGGAGGACTCCGATGAGTACCATCACCACCGACAACGGAATCAGTACCCAGTCCCTGATTGCCGTGTCTAGCACCAGATCCTCCGCCATTGCTGCTCTGTTCCGATACCTTTAAAAGATAACAACGATAACAGAGTGATTTGAAGTTCGACTCCTCCTCGATCGATCGAGGGATCGTTTACAAGGAAAAAAAAAAATTTGTTCAGGGGAAGATGGAGGGATGCATGTGTCTTTCGACTCAAAGCCTAGGGATCTTTATGTCATTGTAAATTGTTCGGCGACTAAAACGTCACCGTTTAGATGACCGCTTACTTGATATGGGCCGGCGGCAATTGGGTTTCCTTGTATCGCTTGTTCGACTCCTAGATACTTAACTTGCATAGCTATTCCTAATTCATCAATGAAAACATTGCTTCAACATTCTTTATACTTTAACTTCTACACCAGTCTTATATATATATATATATATATATATGTATGTATGTATATGTATTACTTTGTATTTGTAACAACCTTGAACTCCTATTTAGAAAGAAAACAAAAAATCAAGTTTAAAAAACCATGTAAAAATATGATTTCATCTTCTTCCCTCTCTACTAGCTTTCTTCCCCTTTCTCAACCCTTCAATACCAAACAAGATCACTACAATTCTCTTTTCAAAAACCATAATCAAACAACACCACCTTGCAATAATATCAAGCCTTTGATAATTCAAAGAAGCTACTCCTCTTCTAATCCAAACCATGAACATGGGTCGGCTTTGATGGCAATAAGTGATGACAATAAGAGCTCATCTGGGTCTCCAGAAGAAGAGCGTGGAGCATTAGAGACTGTGCTGAAGTTCTATATCGCGATTAAGAATCGAAATGTTTGCGAGCTCTCTGATATCATTGGAGATGAATGTCAATGCATCTGCAATTTCATCTCTTATTTGGAACCTTTACAGGGGAAAAAGGTAAGTAAATATATATGTATGGTTTCAATTTGTGGGAGATGATAGTATAGTTGATGGGAAGATTTAGTTTGGATACATAGATTAAATTTGAGCTTTTGTTACTGGGTTTTTGCAGCAAGTGGTAGAATTCTTCAAATGGTTGGTCAAATACATGGGAGATAATGTAGAGCTTGTGGTTAAACCAACGTTGCATGATGGAATGAATGTTGGGGTTACTTGGAAGCTAGGTTTTTTTTACATTGTCTCTTCTTATTCTTCCTTGGAAAAACCATGTTTAATTTTTTGTTTGCACAATTAATTTGACAAAATATATGTAATTTACAGAATGGAATAAGACACATGTGCTTCTGGGTTCTGGCTTCAGTTTTCATGTTTGCCAAATCTACAAGGGAAAAGTCATCATAAGGTGAGTGTTTGAAATTTTGATGTGCCAATGAGAGATTTTTAGTTTTGACTTGCAAAACTTTATGATTATGTTAAATACAACCTACATAAACACGAAATTGTAAGCTTGAATTAGATCATGTATTCTTCTAAATATAAGATAAAATTATAAACCCGAGTTGAATTATACATTCTCGTATACAAAGGTGCATTATTCCAAATATAGAATAAAATTATAAAAGTTCGAATTAAACTATGGATTCTCATATCCAAAGACTAATTTTCATATGTTATCTAATGAATTAAAAGTATCTATTTTAAGCCTAAGAAAAAAGGGAAGATAAAGATTTGATCATTTGTTGGGCTAAACATATCATATTATGCAGGAATGTGGAGATGTTCATTGACCCAATCCTCCATCTTGAGCCCTTGAGATTGGTAAGTGCATATACATACATGTGCATGTGTGTACATATATTGAAACAGTAATATCTTGGCTTAAATGAGAATTTACAGTTATAATCATGGGTTATATTCTTATAATGAGCTACTTAATTTTACAACAGGAGCTGATAGCTTCTGCCATGAAGATAATTGACAAGTTAAGCTCTTATGCAACAATACTGAATAGCAGGAAAAGAGCTGCATGCGTATTGTTGCTCAGCCTACTTTTCATGGTAGCCATTCTCACAAGAAGACCTTCATGGATATTCCTCACTCTATTCTTCTTGTCTGCCATTCTCTTCTTCTCCAAACCAGATAATGGAAGACCCATTTTCTAAGTTCTTTTTTCTTCTTAAATTAATTAAAGAAATTATTATTTATCCTTAAATTCATCAAAGAACAAGTCAAACTTATATCTAAAAGAACCTTTCAAGTATCAAATTCTCAAGAGTTCCAACACCACAATTGGCTTTCATGATCTCATCCATGTTCAATACTTGAATCTCTGTAAAACTTGCAACGGCAGCTTGGAAATTTAAGGGGGGGGAAAATTCATACTTCGTTCTAACCTATCAAGTGAATAGTATACAATACTAGATTGCCAATAAAATGACAAGAAAAGCAGCTTGAAGTTAACAAGATATACAAGTTTGTTCCCCAAGTAAAATGATATGTATCATTGCATAACAGAGTTCTAACTTTTGAGGTTAGCATCAGATGCGATACCGACAATAAGATCCAACAGAAAGCCTAATGGAGTGATGGCATAAATACAAACATCCTTGCCATTCACCCATATTACATGTTCATTCTAGACATAGATTCCCAGGGGTGTAAACATCATATCATCATCTACCATGTCAATGCACATAATTAACAAAAAAGAAAAAAAGCCTACAAAATAAGCAAGAAAGAAAAAACAAAAGGTTCTAAAAAAGGCTTCTTTCCTATCAGTTCTACCATCAGAATGACAAGATGGCAAATTCCATGCACCTACAGGAAATAAGATAGAAGCTCATAGAGGTTAGGCTGATGTTAGGGTTAAAATTTTCACATGGGAGCATGCAGACATCAAAGTGTATGACGTTCTTTCAAAAAAATAACTTGAAGAAGATGGTAGGAGAAAATTAAAAAAACTTACACTGACTAGTCAGACCATCAAGCATCATGACCGCTTGAATAAGTGACGGCGCAGCATCTCCGTTATCCCCACTGCAGAAATGCTTTCACACTGGAGGAGCTCACGGAGCTTTGCGTCACATAGAATCACCATTGCATTCATTGGGTCCTAAAATTATATAAGCAAACCACTAATAGTTTAAATGCCATGAATTCCTTTCCAGATATGAACTTTTGGGTACAAGTCCACCCAAGATATTAACGGAAAGCAACTTTTGATACTCATTACCATGAATTGTGCTAGAAAACAAAAAGAATTTCAACAGGAAGTCACAGAAGCCGACACTGGAATATGCAAAAAGACTTCACTCTATTTAAAAGAAAAGATCATGCAGGAGAAATCCACACCAAAACAATTTTTAGAGAAATCATTTATATTTGAAAAAGTAACAGAATAATTGAGTTATAGCCACAAATCAAGGGAAAATTCATATGATAGGATATGGCACTTAAACATGTGCACAAAGTCCCCACCTCCAAATGGTTGACTTTCACATATTCCCAAACACGTCTTAGAACTTCTGTGTCAACCATCTCTCTTTCCCCTGTACCCAAAAACTTTGCGAGAGGTTCAGATATCACTACAGTAGAAGAAACAGGTTCTCTAGTCTCAGTTGTGGGCTCAGCAGCCACCTTCATCCGTTTAGCTTGAGCTGACTCCTCTGCAAATATTCATGGAAAAAAAATCTCAATACTCTTCATAAAGGAAGAAAACTGTGTCACAGATAACGCCAAATTGCATACTTGATGGTTCAAGTGGGATGATATGTTTTGCTAGTAGTTTATTCATCTTGAACATGTCAGTGCAGTCAGTCTCAAATACCACTCGCAGGGCATCATCACAGATAATCTTTCTCTTGTTACTCGGATCCTGAAGGTTGTTTTTCCTTATATATGCCCACAGCTGTTTCACAATCTGAACCAGGCAAAACAAAGCTTTTAGAATGCGACAAAATTATTCATTTAGAAACACACAATATGTCACAAAAATCTTCGTGAAAATTAACCTCAGTCCTTGGCAAGGCTGGCTCCCCAACAATGGCCTGAAGTTGAGGTGAAACTCCACAAACTTTGTTTAGACCCCCAGGGCCACCTCTTCTTTTGGTTCCAACAGGAGCACTGCAATAGAAGTTTCGGATAAACATGTTATCTCACCCCCACAACATAAATTGCCTTTATATCAGGCAGTTCCAAAAGAGTAGATAGCAGATATAAGAGTAAGGAAAAAATCATCCAGTGAATAGGGCTAGACAGACTATTAAGTCACCAACAATAAATGCCAATCTGCACATTAATCCTCGGCTGAAATTCACCCAAAATAGAATTCAAACTGCCAAGAAATATTAAAATGCAAAATTGCAAGTCTAGATAACATTTTCAACCGTGAGTACCATCAGTTTACAATATAGTTGACTGGTCATTCACCGGTACAGGAGAAAAAGAGAAATATAAACGTGCCCAGAAAAAAAGTGAAAGTGAAAAAGCAAAAAACTTCTTTTCTTCAACCTTTCACGTCTGACCATGGCTAAGTGCCCAAGTCAAAATGTCTCAAAAAGCTTGATTGGTACCACAACCATATGGAGCCTCAGTTTTATTCTACTTCCTTTCCTTTGAATGAATATAGCACCAAAAACTGTTCATAACTGTATAGTCTAAGCTGTTTTCCAGTAAGCGCACGAAAGTTTGAGTTTTATTCTACAAATGGGTAATTCCCACTAGTGTGAGGAAATGCAAAAGATAAAAACTTCCCCAAAAGGAATGCTTGAATAATCTATAAGCACAGGTTCTTTCTCAAGAAATGGATAGAAAAATGAGGTAAAAACTAATTATTTTCAAAAACGTTTCATGTTTCCGACTGCAGTAAACTAGAGGAAAGCAACCGTTCTTACATGTGGAAAAATGGAAATTGTTCATAACTAAGACCTGCAGGTTATCCATAAATGATAATACTTCTCCAAAGCAAGCCCTAACCTGGACCATTTTGGATAAGTAAAACAGCTTCCTTTCACATGTAATTTCCCCCAGAAAAACCATCAGTACCATTTTATTGTAGCAAACACAGTCCTTCAGAAACCCTAACTTGGAACACATGAGGAAGAATAAAAACCCTAACCCCACCAAATCAACATAACTAAAACCCTAGGCAAATAACCACTTTTTTCCTTCGGAAGACCCAAACCATTTCCAGCACCAAAAAAGAAGGGCAAAACCAAAACGTATAAACTTTCAGATAACGAAAAAGAGAGAACCTTTCTTTGGGCACTTCACGAGAAACAGCGGCCACGGCGCCTTGAGGAAAAAGGGTCTCTTGCTTCGCTACCGGAGCTTGCTGGGGGAGCTGTTGCTGAACCGGCTGAGCCTGGGGCTGTGGAGGAGGATGCGTCGCCGGCTGGGTCTGCGGCTGCCGGAAGTTGAGGTCCTGCGGATGATGGTAGGGTTGGTGGAGAGTGAAATGGGGAGGGAATTGGTGAGGCTGAGGAGGGAATTGGGGGTGGTGATAGAGGGCAAAATGGTCCTTGGGCGAGACATGGAGCTGGGACTGGGTTTGGGTCTGGGTCTGGGTCTGGTTCTGGGTCTGGGTCTGTGGTTGCTGTTGCGGAGGCTGGGGCTGGGGCGGGGGCTGGGGCTGAGGCTGAGGCTGGGGCTGGGGCTGGGGGTGGCTCGTCGGGTGAGCACGGAGGAGGAGGTTGATCTGGTCTCGGATGAAATCCGTCTTGTGAGAAAGGTCTAACCCTAATTTGACTTCCAACTGCTGCACGACGCCGTTTAAGGACGTGACAGCGTTCGGGTCGGATTGTCGGAGCAGGATCTCTACTCCTTTCGCTATTTCCTGGTCCGACACCATTGTTGTTGCCTCAAACCTTCATATACCCTTAACCGAAAAAACGGACACCTTCCCAAAAAAAAAAAAAAACGTTTCTCTCTTTCTTTCTCTCTCTCTCTCTCCTCTCTCTCTCTCTCTCTCTCTCTCTCTCTCACTTCCTGCTCTCTCTGTCTCTTTCTCTCTCTCCCTCTCTCTCTATCTCTCTCTTTATAAACAATTAAATGACGAAAATGTCCCCTCTGTTTATTTAATTTAAAATCGTATTAAAAGTCCGTAATACCCCTGAAGTAACCGCCTCTAGAGTAGGGGTAATTTCGTATTTCCATACAGTATCCCCCTCTTTTCATTTTCATCCCCGCCTTTAACTTCTAAATTACAATAATACCCTTACGAGTGCAGCAGAGAAGCGAGGGTAATTGCGTAATTTCCTAAAGTCTCGCAGGTGTCCATCTGTTTTCCCTTCTTTTAATTTTTTAAAAAATAAAGATAGAGACGGATGAACTGAAGAATAATAACGATTTCCCAAAAAAACTTTAAATAAATAAAATTACACAAGTGGTTTTATGATTTTACTATTTTACCCGACCACGCTTGGGCACTTTGCTCCGGTGAGTGGTTGGATTCGGAGACAAGTGGAGGGGCAAATTAGTCTTTTTAGTCCCGTTGGGATGGATAAGAATTTTAGCGGGGGGGTGGGTAAACAAACTGTTGAATCAAGGACGTTGTTGTTGAAAAAAAAAGTCCACGAATCTAACGGCTGAGAATCGCGAATCATCCTATAATTTTAATATATTTGATTTTATTATAATTTAGTTTTTATTAAATTTTTATAATAATTTAATACTTCAAAATTAAAAAATTTTAATTTAAAAAAAATAATATAGTAATTAAAGTATATGGTTGTAAATGTAAAAAAAAAAAATTAAATTGTAATATAAATAAATTTGGGAGGAGAAATTTGTAATTTAGCTTAAAATATCTCACATAATATCTACATTTCGGATATCATATCATATTCAAATTAAAAGCAAAATAGTATCTCTTCCAATGTTTATCATTATAATAATTATAATTAAATTAATTATCGCCTATAGATATAATGATGTAATATCTCTATCCGAATTTGATGTGTCTATTGGACTTTTTTAAAATATAATGTTTTAAACAAACTTGTGCAATGTTCATTTAATTGCATTTAAAAAGCTCTTAACTATTCAACAAAGTTAGTATCAATTAATGTAATATTTTTCAATTCAAATATAATATAAAGTTTCAAAATTTATTTAAATTATATATTTATCACTAATAATATATATGATGTCCGTCACATAAATATTTATATGTTTATATGAATATTAAATTTTAAAAATATTATTAATAATCTCGTAATAATTATATAATCATCATAACAGATAAAATTAATTATGAAGTTAGTAATTATAACGATGATAATATTTTTAAATTTTAATATTTATATAAACACGTATTTTATAAAATATGTATATGTTTATTAGTGTTAAACATATTCTCAATGATAAATATATATTTTTAAATTAAATAATTAAATATAATTTATTAATATAATTATAGTGATTAAATCGAATTATTCGATTCTCGATTTTAGAGTTTTAAGGATAAAAATATTTTTTAAAAAATTATTCATATTAAATTAAAGAAATTAAAATATATGTATTAAAAAATTAAATATATATTACAAATTAAATCTTAATATATATTATATGTATAATTCCAACCCCATTGCTATTGGGAGCCACCACTCACACACACACATATATATAATCGTATCATGTGTATGTATACGCATATATTCGAATTTCAAATCCCATTAGCTGGCCACCACTCTCTTTTGTTTTTTTTGAGACGCCCACCACTCAAACACACACATATATATATATAATGGTATCACGTATATATATATACATATTATAACATTACATACATAAATATATACAAACCTTTTCGTCTTCTGCTTCATTCCCTCACTCACCGTCGAACGCCTTCCTCACTTTCCGTCGAACATTGCGGCTATGTCGGCCTCTCATATTCGTCGATCTAATAACCGGGCCTCTCCTTTTTTTGCTTCCTTGGCCTCACCGCGGCGGCTACGTCGATTTCTCATCCTCGTCGACCCCTCCTCCTCTGCTCTGCTTTCGGCGGCAGTGCTAGAGTGAGGTGTGCGTGGACAAGGACGAACCGATTCTAAAAACGGTCGGGTTAAACCGGGCCGTTGGCCGTTACCTGTTTTGGACCGTTGCGTATCCCGACTAAATTACAATAAATCTTAGTATATTTATTGAAATTATTTTTATGATAATTAATTTTTATTAATTGAGATATTAAAGAAAAAAAAATTGATTTAACCATTTATTTATAAAAAAATATATATATTCGTATTAACATAATTAAATATCGTACACATTTACATTGTATACATTAGGGAGTATATTGTTTTATTTATTAAGCACTTTACAATAATAATTTATATTAATTTATAATTAAAAATTCGTACATTTTAATTGCGGTACATATTTTTGTAACATATGGAGAGATCGACTAGTATTGAATAATGTGTTATATTAACAAAATTTAACATGTGTTATATTTAGTTTATATATATGTATTATATATTGACTGTGATTAATTTATAATATTTAATTAATAAAATTAATGTTTTAATTAATTATTATATTGATAAAATTATAAATACAGAATTGAAATAAGTTTTAAATTTGATATAGTATTTTTGCTTTTTAAGAAATAAAAAGATATTCGTTAGATAAAAAATATTAAAATTTTATAATAATGTTCTCACTTATTTATATATTTTTATTTCGTTTATGAGTTCATCATTGCCGACTACATTAAGCTACTAAATTCATAATCGAAATATAAACTATTCAATGAATTCGTAGTTGTAACGTTGCAGCTCACATTTTAGCACAATTTACACGAACAATTTCTACTTTCTATGTCTTGGCCGGTTTATCCTTAGATGTTTCTGTAATATTATCTGGTTGATTAATATATATTGACTTTCTCTCAACAAAAAATTATGAAAATATTTATTTTTATTAATATAATAAATAAAAATGTAAAAAATTAATATGAAATCATAACATTACATTTCAGATTCCATTTTCAATTTTATTGTTTTAATTTTATGCAAATTTAATTTTTAATATTTTTTGTAATACCCAATTGTTTTTTTAATTTAAATTAATTTACAAATATAAATTTTTAATTTTTAATTTTTAATTTAGTATAAAAATGAAGGAAATTTGATTGATGATGAAATTAAAAACAATTTTTGAAAAAAATAGTGAAAATTTGAGTTTTAAAGATATTTAAAAAAAAATCAGAAACTGGATGTCAAAATATAATTTAAGAAAGTTGTGCCACGTTTGGGGAGGGAACGCATCCAGGTCGTTCGTGCGCGCGGAAATGGATCTGAGCCGTTCGATCGCAGGCACGCAGATCGCCTGCGTGACACCGCGTCAGCATCCATTGATTTTGCGTACAGGCGTGCAATTTCCCTATATCAGCGTCCCCCAATGTTACCAACTCAAATACCCTACCATCCCGTACTCGCTCCACCATGTTATCGTGAGACTCTCTTATTCCTTTACCCGGTATACCAGCCCAACACATATCTCATCTTAGAACACACACTAACATTTCACACACACACCGGTAATGTTCCATCGCCAACCATTACATTTATAGCAGCTATACCAACCTATATACAACCCACAACCTCACACGACACAATTACCAACACACCCCCATTCCGATACCTTAAACCACGCCTTATTGGCCTCTCTTTTCCTTTCCCAAATTTATAGCATATACACTCTCCTCTCATTCTATATCTACCTCTCCCTTCAGTCATACTGCACTTCTCTTCTTACCTGAATCTCTTCCCACACACTGAACTCATCCTTTTCCCTCATTCCACAGTCCACTATAAGGAACCCCTGCACAATCATGAACTCTCATCTCTCTCACAGGACTCACACACCGCTTTCCTTCTTCTTCTACCTCCCACGGCCTATTCAAAATATCACAACTCACACACTCATAACCACAACTCTCATCTCTCTCACAGAACACTCACCAACTTCTTTCTTCCTTCTTTCTCATCCCGCAGCCTCCTCCGTGCACCCCGTTCGTACACACACAACGTCACCTCACCCTCACTGATCTCACTCACTCATCCACCAAACCCTAACCCTAGTTGCCAGACCCCCCTCCAGCCAGAGAAGAAGACTCAGCCGCTAGGAAGGAAGCCACCGCTGCCGTGCCGGAGCTACTTCCGACCGCCAAAAGAGGTAAAAAATTTCTCCTTTGCTCATAATTTAATTTTAAACACCTCAATGGCCAAATCGGAGTAAAAAAAGATCAGCAGATTGGCCGAAAAACTGCGGACAAAGCTCGGTGGTGCCGCGACGAGAAATTACAAAAATTGCCTCTGATGAGGCCCTTCCCGATTCCCATTCTGCGAAATTTTTCCACCATTGTAATCAATGTTTCATTCTCTACATGTTGACTGAAGCAAAACACCCAACTGCAAAAGTGAGTCAGCGGAGCCATCGCACCGAAGAGCCCCGTTGCTAGTGAGTTTCGATTTTTTATTTTTTTTGAGCCAACCGAGGCCTCTTAATGTATTTTTCACAGAAATCGATACAAAACCGACCAAAAACAGCCAACCTGAGGCAGACCACCGCTGCGGGCGGTGGCGTCGTCGCCGAAGCACGACAAAACCGTCATGTTGGAATTCTGGAATTGACCAAAAAGGGGTATTGACATTGTTTTTAAGTTT